TCCAGGCTTCCTGTTGTGTCCCCTTAGCTCAGCATGTGGTGACCTTGTCCTGGAAGAGGGGGTGGGTGGGGGCACAGACAGCCCACGAGCCCTGCCCCAGGTTGGGCACCTCTGTCCAAAGCCTACTGGACATCTGGCCGAGCAAGCATGGCCTTCCAATGAGCCATGGGCGGGCAGCCAGGACCCAGATGCTGACAGCCTATATATGGGCAGGCAGCTGGCCGCTGTGCTGGCCACGAGCCAGTCACCATGGCACTGAGCTCCAGCTGCCCATGTCCTCCCATGGACTAGCACTGCAATCCCTGAGCCGCCCAGGCCCCAGGCCAGTCGTTGAGGGCACATCCTGGCTGGAGGCTCCTAGTGATGTCGAGCCCTAGAACCAAGTGACTGTTGGAATGTTGGAATGTTGAAGAGCAACTCTCTGGGCTGGGTGGGGGGTGTGAGTGCACGAGGGTGTGTGTGCACAGGGCTGGGGGTGTGAGGCACAAGGGTGTGAGTGTGTGCGCGGGACTGAGGGTGTGTGCACTGCCTGTCCAGTGGAGGGGTGAGCAAGAGGCAAGCAAATAAGCAACAGTTTCAGACTCGATGAGGACTGAGAAGGACTCAGGTGTCCCCTTCAGGGAAGACCCATAAGCCGGGCCTCCCTGAGAAGATGTACAGAGGCCTCCGTGTGCAGAGGAAACAGAGCTCCTGGCACAGGAAGCAGTACATACGGACAATCCTTTCCTGGCTTGAGGGTCACTGAGGCTGTGGTGTGCCTGGGGTGGGGTGGGAAAGGGAGAGGAGGGGAGCGGTGGGGGGATGGGGGCAGAGCAGTGGTATGTGCAGGTGGGGTGGTCTGAGAGCTGCAGGGGTGGATTACAGAGGTGAAGAGAGCACTGGGTTATGGTCAAAGGGCCACAGGAGCATTGATGGGTCCAGACCCTTGGAGGGACCTGGTTCAGACCCGCCATCACATGCGTGAGTGAGGGCCCATCTGTCCCTCAGATTTTATCTGCCGCAGAACAGGGACCATTGGTCATAGTTTTTTCATTTGCCCAGAGGTGTGGAAAGGGGTGTCGGGGGTGCTTTCTCTGTGGACCAGAACTGACAAAATGCACAACCTCCCAAACACCATCCCTGTGTGTTCCTGGAGGCCGGGCTGGGGCGGGGTGGGGGGGGTGCAGTGGGGGTGGGGCCATGGTGGCAGAGGCCGAGCAGGGGCTTCCTCGAAGGCCCAGAATCTACCCGTTGGTTTCCGCCCTTCTGGATGTGTCCAGGACCGCCGTCGTTCCGCAGCCCACCTCCACCTCATGGACAACCTCGGACTCCTAGTGCCAAAGAATTATCACGGCTGCAAAACACCAACCAGCTCCCTCAAGTGATTAGTCGCTTTGCCAGGGGCTGGGGAAGCTTGCTGCAAACTCCGATCCTTGAAAAAAACCTATAAATTAAATTTTTATTGACTTTAGTATAACACGTTTTTAAAAAAATCAATGCTTTCATATTCAATCTCTTCCTTGCTGCCCTGCCCCCCCCCCCCCCCCCCCCGGGAGCTGGATAAATTCAGCCCTTCCTCCTCCTAATATCAGAAAATTCCCTGGAGGGAGGGCTGGGACTTTCTGTCTGGGTAGGCACTTCCTGTTGTCCAAATTACAAAATCAAGACGACGACAGCCCTGACCCAGGTTAGGGGATTGAGAGCCTGTCTCCTCATTTCCCCAAATGAAGTCTTGTTTCATGGGCTGGTGGAGTGTCCCCTCTGGCCTCTCGGGGTCCTCTGTTTTCCTGAGGCCAGCATGAATGAAGAAGGAGCTCGCTCCTTTTCTGCTGCGAGGAGGTGGGTGCTGGTGAAACAGGAAGCTTTGCTTTTCAGTGTCTGCCCCCGGGGTCCCCATGGTCACTGGCCCAGAGAACTCGAGTGTGGCTGAAAACCTGGATGTAAATATCTTCTATGTGACCACGAGATGGGCTCCACGAGCAGGTGTCAGAGCTGCCCCTACCCTCCCCCGGAATGGCCCGTGCAGCATCACTGCTGGTGTCCCCTGGCCAGGACGAGCAACCTTCGGAAGCCTGTTTCTTCTGGACTCACTTCCCCTGTGCCCTGACGTCTTCTCTGTGGGACACACCGTCCTATGTTGTCTGTGAGACTAGAGTCATGACCTCCCCAGGGCTGCCTCCCAGGAAAGGCCAAGCCCATTCACAGCCTGGTACCTCTGGGGAAGAGGAAATAGTCCAGATGTGTTGCAAATTTGGTTTCCACAGCCAGCAGCTGTGATGTCGTGTGCTGGGTTCTGGGGAACACAACAGCAGGCAGGACACATGCAAAGGCAGGGCGGTGGGGTCCCAGCCCTGTGTGGTGGGTTCCCTGATGGGAAGGGAACACGGAAGAGCACTTTGGGGGCAAGAGGGGTCTGTGAGACCTTGGAGTCGGCCTCGCGTGAGACAACAACAGTGGCCACGCTGTTTTCTCAGCTCAATAGTTCAATCGCGGCTGCTTAGTGCAGCCAATGATGTGGGGGCGGGAGGAGAAACCAGAAGGGGAGGCCAGGAGCGGCCTGCTGCTCCGGAGGCTCTGGGGAGAGTGGCCGGTGCTGGAGGTGCTGAAAGGACAGTGCCCACCCTGGTGGGCCAGCCTCCTGTCCAGGGGAAAGGGTCTCCCCAGACTGGAGCTGGGTGCTGTGTCCATCTGGACTTTTCCACTCCTCTTTTCTGGATTCTGCAGTCTTGGCAAAGATGGCTTGAGCCTGAAAGCTCTCCCATCTATTTTTAAATAAATGAACTTCCTGTCTCTTGCATGGAATTCACACCAACTAAGCATTTACCCCCACAACCCTGGTTCCCTGGGTTGTGGGGTAAAGGGCTTTGTTGACCAGGTTGCTGACAACTGGACAATGGTGTGCATGGCACAAAACTGAAAACATGCATGTTCGGTGAGCCATCTCATTAAAAGGACATCCTAAACCAAGGATTTTCAAGCCTTGATATGGGATTCATCTGCCAGAACCTCTGGGAAATGTGTCAGACCTTCCTGGGGTCTCTGCTTGAGACAAGAGAACAGAGGGCTTGGGGGAGGCAAAGGTGTGCCTGCATCCCTAGCAGGCTCCCCTCCAGCTTGGCCAGCAGTGCTCCCGCTGAAGGGGCCTCCCCCGGAAGGCTCTGAAGGCAACTAGTCTTTCCTTAAGGTCTCAGAATGCCAGAGAGCCTGGATGGTGGTCCCATTTCAACACTCATGTGTTTGCAAAAATGATACCTGGGAATTGCTCCTTCCTCCTCTGTGAACCAACCTCACCCATGGGCCCACTTCACTGTCACATCAAGCCCTGAGAAGGGCTCCCCCAGGAGGGGACATGCCCCGCTTAGGTGGCACCCCATAGTCTGGGGCTTTTAACAGGATGAGAGCACACAAGGGTTGCTCAGAGGCTAGTGGAGAGAGCCAGCATGGGCAGCCTCTCTCTTTTTGTGATGGAAGTGGTCATGCCCCCCGCTGTGAACTGAGGAGGTGGGCTCCCCCTTCATCAGCCTGGGCTCAGCGGGAGTGGGCACACTCGAGGGAACTGCAGCCACCTTAGGGCACACTGGCTGAATGCTGGTGCTTGTAGCTAATGACCAGGCAGAGGCAGGGTGGTGGAAGTCAGGAGTGTGGCCCCTGGGCCGTACCTGTGTGCACAGGTGTATGTGGGGCATAAGCGGCACTCCATCCTCAACATTCTAGATGATGACTTACAAATTAGACCATTCTGTCTGGAAAAGGCCACATGGCCTCTAACTTTGGAACTAAAAAAGGGCAAACAGCACAGCTGATCCAGCACCATGGACAGGGCTGCTTTATGCGCCAAGTTCCTGGGGAGAACAGTGTCGGCTGCAAACTGGGCCGATCTCAGTGGACCCCACAGTCCTAGGCAAACGTGGGAAGAGGCTGGATGTGGTCAGGAGAGGCACCTGCAGCCAGCACCGTCCAAGGGAGGCTGCAGAGGAGGCTTCAGCGAGTGGGGGCAGGGTGAGGAGTGTCCATGTGGAGTGCGCAGGGGCCTCTCTGTGACTGAGGAAAGAGTCCTTTGGCTTCCCAGAAGAAGGTTCCAGAATGACACCCCCCACCACACACACACAACCATGGTTCCCTGGCTAGGGGAGGCGACCTCTGCCTACTCCCCCTCAAGAGGACACCCTGCCATCTGTGTCCAGAACCTGCCCTCCTTTGTTCTAGACTATTGGACCAGTGTCCACTCTGGGCTCAGGTCTCTGTCTTGCCCTGGGGGCCATCCTCCCAGGTCCTTTCTGGGGTCTGCAGAAGGAAGTCCAGGCCCCTTGGGGTGAGTCTCTCAGGTCTCACCTCTCTGACCACCTCTGCCCCTCCCCCTGCTTCAGGGGCCTCTGTTCCTCCCTTCTGGGACTCCTCCAAGGTCCAGTTCAGGCCCTCTCTTAGGAAGTCTCCCCAGATGCCTCCCTCTACACGCAGGGACCTGGGTCTAAGGGGTCCTCATTACTGGCCCACTTAGAGGCCAAGCACATAAGGTCCCAGTGGGCTGGGCCTTAGCAGAGGTTCTACTAAGGGCCGGTGCCCATTCCTACGTCCTGCTCCTAGGTGTCCAGTCCAGAGGTTCAGCTGGTAGGAATCCAGCTGGGGCCAGGCGCTGGCAGAGCTTGGGGATCCAAGGGAGAGCTGGGGGCTGCTCAGGCGCTGCCCTTGTCTTAGCAGGGGATAGCCAGGGGGCCGGATTCCCTGGTCAGGGCACGCGGGGCTGCGGGAAGGGGGGCCCGGAGGGCCCGGGTGGCAAGAGGCCCGGAGCAGCCCGTCCTCTTCATCTGCTCTCTCCTGCGTTCCCTCTCCTCCCCGACGCCGGCGCGGCGTCGCAGGGGTTAATGGAGGCGGGGCGAGGCGGCGGGCGGAGCCAGGTGGCCGCAGCGTCCCCGCGCGCGGCCCGGGCCGGCAGGAGCGCGGAGCCGCCGCCGCTGCCGCCTCGGCCATGCGGCTCCCGGGCCGGGGGCCTGGGCTCGGGCCCGCGCCGCCCCTTGCGCGTCTCCCCCGCTGAGCCAGCGCCCGGCCGGGGCGCCGCCCGGCACCATGGTGCAGAAGTCGCGCAACGGCGGCGTGTACCCCGGCCCGAGCGGGGAGAAGAAGCTCAAGGTGGGCTTCGTGGGCTTGGACCCCGGCGCGCCCGACTCCACCCGGGACGGCGCGCTGCTCATCGCCGGCTCCGAGGCTCCCAAGCGCGGCAGCATCCTGAGCAAGCCGCGCGCCGGAGGCGCGGGCGCCGGGAAGCCCCCGAAGCGCAACGCCTTCTACCGCAAGCTGCAGAATTTCCTGTACAACGTGCTGGAGCGGCCGCGCGGCTGGGCGTTCATCTACCACGCCTACGTGTGAGTGCGGCGGCCGGCGGGGGCGCGGGGCGCGGGGGCGCGGGGCGCGCGGCGGGCCGGGCGGGGGGTGCTGTGCGTCCGAGCGCCCGCGTCGCTCACGCCCGCGCCCGGGTCTGAGTCCGGGGAACCGCGTTCCTTGGCCACAGCGAAGGGCGGAGATGCTAGTGCGGATCGGAAGGAGTTCTGGGGTCCGGGCGTCCCGGCCGGGGTGGGGGCGCCGTCCCCCCACCAGCAGCGGCCTGCTTGGGTTGCATCAGCCCCTCCCCCGCAGCTTGGGGGATGTGCGGCGCCCCAGCCTCTCCTCCTCCTCGGCCCGAGGCCCCTCCCCACGGCCGCTGCGCCGAACAAAGGGCCAGCCGGGAGGGAGGGTGGCGCTGTCAGTCCTGCCACTGTCTCTGGACTCCTCGAGGCCCCCTCTGGTCTGGGCGACCCCCCTACTTCCGCCCCAGGAAGGGAGCAAGGGGTGGGGGCAGGGCCTGGCTTACCAGGCCTCAACCCCCAAGCCGCTCACTCTCCACCAAGGGTGAGCTTCTGGGTTGCAGGAATGGGGGTAGGGGCTGTCCTAATATTACACCCCCACACCCCCAGCCCAGGGCTGGGGGTTGTTGACTGTCTTGACCGCGGTGCCTGCATTCATCTTTGGCCCATAGTGCATCCCTCACTCTCGCCTCCACCCAGCTCAGCCCCGACCCCTCTGTGCTGCTGCGAGATGGAGGAGCAGGGAGATGCCCATTCTGGGCTCTGGTTGGACGCCCAAGGGGGGGTTCTGTCCTGAGCCCTCCAGGCCTGGCCCTATGCAGGGAACTCCTGGCTCCCTGGGCAGGGGCAGAGGCCTCAGGCCCACACTGTGTGCACATGAGCGTTCGTGGGTGGCATGTTTGGGCAGGAGTTGCTGTGTGTGGCCTGTGCCATTGGCGTGCAGTCTCTGAGCGGGCAGGCACTGTCCCTCCCACCCCAGCTAGACTGGGGCCAGAACTCGGCCATTTTGTATGAAAGAGGCATTTTGGGATGGGAGTGAGGAACGGATTCTGGGAAACCATCTCCAACCATGTGCTCCCCTGGGACGACAGGGTGTGTGCCCACGGACCTGTGTGTGTGTGTGCTCTGGACTGACCCTCCACGGGTCCATGGGCTAGGGGAGAAGACCCGGGGGGAAAATGCTTGGCTGCTGGTGGGATGGTATCCTGGGGGAAGACCCCAGCCCTGGCAGGTGCCAGCGCTGAGTCACCGTGGGAGGCAGGGGCTTCCCTGGCGCTGTGAGCATCCTCCCCACCCCCTCCCCAGTAGGGCGACTTGTGCCTTTCCCATGTAGGCATGCTCAGGCGTGCTGTTCATCCTTGGAAGAGCCCTGCATCGCCTCACCAGTGGCCCTCCTGTCACCACCTCCCTTCCTGCCTGCTGGGATGGGGTCTGGGCAGCCAGGTCCCCCCCACCCTCACCTCCGGTATGAGGTCAGAGCCCACCCCACAGCCCAGCAACCAGACACCCCTCTCTGACCTGTGGTGTGGCTGCTGGAAGGTTTGCTTGCCTTGGCCCCACAAGTCCCTGGCCGACAGGACAACCTAGGGTCCCCTGTGTGTGGTCCTGTCTTCAGCCCCGAGTGGCTTCTTCTGCCTGGGCCCGAAGTGGCCATCCCCTCTGTGCCCCCTCGGAGCTGCAGCCTCCAGCCCGGGACGCTGTGGGAGAGAAGCCGGGTCAGGCTGCTGCTCCCGTGCGTGTGTGCATGTGCGTGTGTGTCCGTCCGTGTGTCCGTGAGCCAGGACAGGCAGGCCTGTAGCATGTGGGGGCCCTCCTCCCTGCTCGGCCCTTCCCTGGCTTCCCCACCGAGGTCACAGGATGCCTTGAGCTCCCTTTGCCCCCAGCTCACTGGCAGGGGGACCTTTTCTGGGGAGTGGGGGGGGGCGGAGGGGGGCAGACATGGTGGAAGCGGCCGGGTCAGGCACTGAAGTCTAGTCCGGAATCTGCAGGCCTCAGTCTTCGCTCAGGACAGTGGGCGCCTGCTTCTTGCCCCCAGGGGTTGTGGAGATGGGCTGCGTGGGGCAGCTGCTGTCCCAGGGCTGGCTGTGGACTGTCCCTGAACGGCTGCCACTGTTGTTCATCGCCCATCCCCCCGGGCCCCAGGCGTGGAATTCTCCACTGTCCCCAGGCCCAGCCCCACCCCAAATCAGGACGCCCTCACCGCCCTGTTGTTGGTCTCCTGCCCGAGGCTGCGGCCACCCTGGGATCCCCTTGCCCAGCATGGACTGGCCCGTGTGTGGGCATCATTCGTTGGACTCATTAATTAGATAAAGTTCAAGGCCCCCTTCCCTGCCTGGTGCTGAGCTGGGCCTGAGGAAGCCAATGGAGGGCAGGGACCCAGCCTTCACCATCTGTCCTGGCTGAAGGGGGTCCCCAGGGCTGGGGCAACTCTGAGCCCTCCTGGGCCACCGTTCTACAGCTTTTGCCACCAAAGCCTGGCTTCTGGAAGCTGGAGGTGGGCCAGCCCCTCTGGGTGCCCAAGGCTGCCCTGTGGTTCCGCGTTCCCCGCCGACCCTGTGTGGGAAGCACTTTCTCTGAGGACCTGCCTCTGGGAGCGGAGCCGCAGAGCCACATCGGCCGTCACTCCTTCCTGGTGTGAGCTTCTGGAGAGAGCAGCCTTCCCTGAGGAAGGAGGGATCCCACGCCGGGAAGTGTGGACCTGCCTGGGTGGGAGACAGCTTGGACCTGCCCCTCCCAGCTCTGAGTTCCCTGAAGGGTCCCTTCCTCTGCCTGGGTGGGAAGACCCTGCCCCGTGGGACGGTTCACCCCGATTTGGGTGGGCAGCCCAAGCCGCACATGGGCCCTGGGGGCGATCGCTGGGGCCCCAGGTGGGAGGACTCGCACACGTTGTCAGCACTGGATGGGGCCCTGCCCTGAGGAGCTGGGCCGTGTCGGGTGGGGAAGGGTCCGACTCGGCAGACCCTGCTCCCTCCTGCCTGCCCCCGACACTTCAGGCCAGAGTCTCAGGCTTGAGGATCTGTGTGCCCTGAGAGTGGGGGCATCTGTGTGTAGGGGATTTTCTGGGTCTAAGCTCTGGAGTTTTCATGAGTTTCTCAGAGGAAACGTGAGCCACAGGAAAGGCCTAGGCCTCCCTGTTGGGGATGTGGTCCGGGCAGGTCCATGGGGGATCCCTGGATCGGGTGTGACTCCATGCTTGAGGGGAGCTGGGGGCAGTTCCTGCTTCTAGGGTCTCCCCTCCGCGGGGTTTCTCTGTGGCTAAATGTGGGAGTGGAAACGTGCCCGCTGCTCAGATGCTGGTGGGGAAACTGAGGCCAGGCAGGGTTGAGTGAGCTCCGGCACTGTCCTGCTCCAGCTGAAAGGGGTCTCCGCCTTGGAGAGGAGAGTGCTGATCACATGACCTTTCCGACATCGGAAAGCCACTTGGAGTTGTTGGTATGAAACTGTGTTTAAAACAGGCCGAGGAGGGCTGAGCACGGAGGCCGGGCTGAGCGTGGAGGCTGGGTCACCAGGCAGCTCACTCTTTGTGATTCCTTCCACTCGGGCGGAGCCACCAAGCCCTCCCAGTCCTTACATGGCCCCGGCCTCAGGGCTTTCTGTGCTGGGGCTGCTGGGCCCGGTGTGATCTGCTGTCAGCCAGTTGTGGTCCAGGGTCCCAGGGCCTGCTGCCATCCCCTGCACGGCCTTGGCTAACCCAAGTGGGATCACACTCTTGGCCTGCACAGGCTGCCCGCTGTCCCCTCTCACTTGTCTGTCGCCGGTGGGCCACCTGGGGTCGGGGGGGCAGGTGGAGCCCCTGCCCCCAGCCTTGGCCCCGGGTGTCGGCCTCTCTGCTCCTTGGCCCCGAGTGTCGGCCTCTCTGCTCCTTGGCCCCGAGTGTCGGCCTCTGCTCCTTGGTCTGACCGCATTTGAGGGTCGAGGGCGGCTCGGGGAGGTGGCCGGGGTCCCTCTTCTGCTGACGGAGCATTTTGTTCCCAGAAGGAGACGGAGGTCTGCGTGGTTCTGTTCTCTGCCTTCAAGTCGCAGAGCTCCGTCCTCGGGGAGGGAGTGTCCACCGAGAGCTGGAGAATCTTACAGAAATTTCCCTAAAGGTGGGAACGCCAGGAGGGTCGTGCTTTCCGGAGGGGCCATCCTCAGTGGCCTGGAGACCTCAGGCTCCTTGCAGGACTCCCCACCCTCACCAAGTAGTTTCAGCTGAGATCGGACCGTGACAGCACAGTTGCGTCTAAGCACGGTGTCCTCTGTGTCAGCGAGTCCCCCATGCGCCTGTGTCCACAGCCCGATGGGGTGGACAGGAAGCTCGGTCTTCCCGGGGCAGAGCAGAAAGAATCTCGGATTTATCAGTCATCCGTACAAGCCAAAAATTCCAACTCTGGGGACTCGGGGGAAGTGGACTAGTGATGTGGGCACCGCTGTGCGTCGGGGACCCTCGGACCCCAGGTGCCCAGCCTGTGGTGGGAGGTCCAGCTCCGGTTCTGACAAGACATAAGCCCCAGAGTGTCTTCGAGGAAGCAGATTCCGTCCAGACGTGGTGGAGGGTTTCACGAGGGCGTTTCACAGGTCGTTCAGTTTATATGACTCGCAGGTCTTGGCTGTGCCTCTGTGCGCGGCTGTCACTCAGCGGGCGTCTTCGGTCCCTGCTAGTGAGAGCCACGGGGCAAGCCTCAAGAGTGGGCTCCCTAACTGTCCCATGGAAGGAATGGGGCCTGGGGGACTGAGCTCCTTGGGACATTTTATGGAAGACACCAGCAGGGTCTTGGGTGTGGGGAGGGCAGGTCCCTCAGGGGAGAACTTCTGTACAGGACTGGGGGTCACACAGCATGGTTCTGTGGCCTCTGAGTGTCCACGGGGCCTTGGATAGGGCGGGCGGGGCCGGGGCCAAGGCCTGGGGTTCAGGCCCTGTCCTGTTCAAAGGCTCAGGATGCTGTGTGGGCCCTGGGCTGCAGGCTGCTGCCGTTGAAAAGCCGAGGCTTTGAGGTGCGTTGGTGCCCGACCTCTGGCTATTGGAGATTGCCGGCTGCCCT